ATCTGCATAGCTCGAGAAACCCTGTTCAGATCTGCTGGAGATGCCTTCCCCTAAATTCCTCCGCTCTTGTACGATCTGTTTTTGGTCGACCGGTCCGACACCCTCAAAGTGCTTTGAGAGCTGCAAGCACCAGCAAGGACGGTTGGAAGCTTTCTCTTGGCTCAAAACCAAACCTTCTCACACCAACCCCAGGCATGGCTCTTGGTTCAGTTTTTTGCTGGTTTGACGGGCTCAATTTCCAGACCGAAAAACCCTTCCAAAACGTCTCCGCCATAAGGGCCTTCCCTGTAGCCTTCCAAGCCTCCTTGAAGGGTCTGACCCCTTCAAGCCCCCTTTAACGAAGGTCCAAGCCCCCTTCAGACCCCCTTGAAGGGGGACAGGTAGGTAGGTAGGTAGGTAGGTAGGTAGGTAGGTAGGCAGGCAGGTAGGTAGGCAGGTAGGCAGGTAGGTAGGTAGGTAGGTAAGCTTGAAGTAAGTATTAGCAAGTACGTAAATGAGTGAGTAGAAGTAAGTAAGTAAGTAAGTAGTCGCAGTTGCAGAAGCACTAGGACCAGTATCAATAGCAGTCGCGGCAGCAAGAGGCAGAGCGGCTGATGTGAGGTTGTGGTTTCCATTTCCCATTTCGGACGGCTCAGACCCAAGCAATATGGGCACATTGGGCCAGCCAGTGAGCAAGCCCTTACATTTAATCAGCGTTGTTACCGGTAGATAGAGCAGACGATTTCGAACCTTGCTAGAACCTCCATCCGTTCTTAAAGACATATCATGCTACAGACATGTAACAAGTTGTCGACAGCTAGAGGCAGCCTAAGACAAAGACAGGTTATACACGAAACCAACAATTCCACGTCATCTTCGTGGCTGATTTGGGAGGCCTTCTTCTGGAACAACGGCATGTCCGGAGACCGAAATTCAGGGGTCAAGCTCTTGAGTGTCTTCGGTCCGATGCCTTCGGCTTCGGGGGTGAGGTAGCAACAACAACAGCTCCCACTCCTACTCCTACCGCTACCTGCCACTACCACGACCACCAGCAGCAGTACGACGACGACGACGACGACTACTACTACTGCTTCTATTACTGCTTCTACTGCTTTTATGACCACCGCCACCACGGCCTCGACGATGCTGGCTCTCTGACCTACCAGAGATACAGCCCACGCCCAAAAACATCATCGGTGTGATTTTTGTTGAGGCATAGCTGCCCACGCCCATGCATGGCCCAAGAAGAGGCCACCGAGCATGACATTCAGTTTAGCTTTGTTGGAGCCGGAAGAGGCCCGGGATTCGTATGGCAGCTGCATGCCGAGTGAAGTACACAGCCTGATTCCTGCTCAGCCCTGTGTCCCCTTCGATGAAACCTATCCGCGCGGAGCCCGAGCACATGTACCGCCTTGCGCTGCAGAGGCATGACATTTTGACTTGCTGTGCGGACAGCGGTAGATCTGAAACGGCTTGTTTCCAAGATATCCGTTGATGCCCTTTCTTGCGCAGCTTTGGAGTTTGAGGAGTTCGATGGAAGAAACGGGGAGATGGTGTCGGAGTGGTTATGAGTTGGCCCAACCAGGCTTTGCAGCCAAACTTGTACGCCCCTTGCCAGGGGAACCGCATATTGAATCTCGATTGACATCTTCTTCTCAAGATCCCTAACTGCCCTAGCCGGCCCGCAGCCCGGAATCATAACAAGCTGGATCAGCCCTGCTTGCAGCCATGGACTGGATCTTCGTCCAAGCCGACTTACCTGGGGCACTTGCTAGGGCTAGCCTCCATGGGGGCTTAGGCTCAGGTGCCCTGGTGTCACTCTCCGTTTGCACTGGTTCGATGATGCAGCAAGTGATTTATGGTAATATGGATGTGATTCCTGCAACAGGCACCTCAGGCACCTCGAGAGCCGCCCAACGATCCGCTCGACGACAAGAGCCTCAGAGAACTCTACCTTTGAATCGGCTCGCAGCAGGCACACCTGCAGAGAGAACCCAGTAGTATCGCAAGACCGGTGCAAGAGAGAGTGCACAGCCCACCATCCTGTACGTAACCCGTGCTGGAGGTGCTGCTTTCCTCGTTTGCCGAAGATGCAAAGGTCCTCGGTTGCAGCGGGCCATGGCCTCGACTCGAACTATCATGGGGGACCCGGGCCGACCTCGCTTGGCTCGTTCGTAGTGCTAGTTCTCTCAAACTCAGCATGTGGCGAGGCGTCGAGGCTTTGCCGGCGTGCAGCCATGGTGGCAATGCACGAGGCCACCGTCCGCAGAGCCGGAGAGGACACCGTCGCTGTCGTGCCATTGCCTTTGTGATTGATTTTTCCCTCCGGCCAGGAGACTATAGACTTTGGAGTCACGCAAGTTTGCGGGTTTCAGGAGATTCTTTCGAACGTGGACCTCGAGGTTCCGGTGGGTGCCCGTGCGGTGGTAGTGGGGCCCAACGGCTGTGGCAAGACCACGCTGCTGCTGGGCTTTGCACCGGGGCTTCGGGCATCAGAGGGTTGTTCTGGAGTTGGGGTTCAAAGCTCCGGGCTTGTCTCTGCATACCCTCTTGAGCAGCGGC